CACACTCCTGTGACCTCGCGAACTGCTAAACTCAGTTGACTCCCGACTGCTCACACAATATTACACAAGTTATTACCTTATGTACACTACATCCGTAGTGTACCGAGATATTGAAAAGAAATTAGAAATATGTAGGAATACTTTTGGTTTGGGACTTATTTTTGGCTAAACGTGTTTTTTAAGCAAAGGGGTGGGGTTTAAAGGGACTGCCTGGATTTCATCTTGAGAAGGATTTCAGCTTAGGGCTTGAAATATACGTTTGTAAATAGGTGGAATAAATTTTAGAGCCCACTTTTCCGTTTATCATTGTCTTTTATCACACGAAGGAAAGTCAATGGGTTTATGCAATTAATTGTAGATTATTTGCCATTGAGGTTAAAATGAGACATTGAGCAAAACACTATTTTGTCATGTATTGTATTAGATAAGATTTCTACCATTGACACGGGGTAGATATTTTAAGTCGAAGACGAGTGAAGGGTGGGTGTTCAATTAATTAAACTAGAGATCGTCCAGTGGTCGAAAACTAGACCAAAAATATGTAATGTACAGACTTATCTATTTTCACACTACAGGTACGCTGTAAATAAAACATGTGATTGGAATTTCTTCCATTTGTTTTGATTTTCTGTTTTATTGCGTTGTTATTTCGTCACCAGCATGGCAACCCATAAGGTAATTAAAATTTTTTAAAAGATATAAATTAATTTGTTGTGCTTATTTTTGAACCTATTTCAATTTATAAAGGGGATTCTGCACATATACAAGAAAATATCTTTCCAACAGTATTCATTGATTTTCCCTGCGATGCACACGAGCTGAGAAAAAGTTTTTAGAGAAACATGCTTTTAGATAGATAGATTATAGCTTTGTAACTGACAAAGATCAGCCAGTTGTTTAGTCTGGACAATGTATTAAAAAGCCCAACTATCTGGGACAGCTGGGCCCAGTTTCGAACCATCAAACAGCTAGTGACCTTTCTCGGGACCGAACCGGCGACCTTTTGATTACAAGACGAGTACTATAAACCATTCAGATACCCAGCTACAGTTTAGATATACAGAAGACACCGTGCTTGGTGCGTATCCATAGACATTCAACTGTTACACAAAACATAGTTCGATGCACAAAACCCCCATACCATCCTCTTCAATCCCCCGCGTTCCAAACAGACAGCCTAACTTGACCCCAAGAAGTAGTGGATCACAACAACGTGTCTAAGTAATCTCTCCACGGCCGTTTAGAATTAATTACAAGTGTAGAGTTCGCGTGAAAGACGGAGTGTGGGCCGAGCTTTGCGCTGGGAACCCGCGATTCCCATGAAATGGATAATTGCTCGGGTAATTGGTCCTGGAGGATTTGCGGCTGTGGGGGCGAAACAGAAACAGAGATGGGTACGTACTGGAGACGGCGGAGAAGGTAGATACAACGGGAGGAGACTCCGTTAAAAAAAAAAACGGCGACTTCTTTCAACGTTGCATCTGCCCTTTTAAAACGGGCCCAAAGGTCTGTGCGTGTAACTATAAGCAAAGCGGGTGCAGTAAAAGAATCAAATCAGTTAAAAATAACGCGATAAGGTATTGGCTTCTTAGGAGGGTCAGGGACGACGATGGCTGTTTTAGCAAGATGATAACTGGATACCAAATCAAATAATTTATTTGGCTGTCCAATACAGAAAATGTACTATTAGGTTAAGTCATGACAACCCTATAAAGATAAACTATGTACAAATCAAACTCAGACCACTATGGTTGCTTGAGTTTGTGGGAAGCCTCCAAAAATGTAAAAACATGGGTGCTCGATTAAAAGTAGAAACGCGGTACCTGTTAAATTAGGGCATTGACTATATCTACAGGGTACAGGGTACCTACTGTAAATATATATAGTCAATGATTAGGGCCACACATGTTCACGCATCTCTAAAATAAAGGTGTTGCAAACGAGTAAATGCTTCATGGAACTTCATAGCATCGATAACATATTTAGCTACTACCGTGCAAAACAATCAATTGTTATTTTTTCTACTTCTGTACCACAGTAATTTTAGCCCGGTTATCGTAGAAGTCAGATCAAGTACAAGATTCACTGTACTCGTATACTTTCTCTGTTTTGCACACGTATAAGAGCTACTCACGTAAGTTTCTACCTCCTATATCCACATGGATACAATTGTACAGGGTAGGTTTTTTCACATAACCTTTGCATACGTCGCCATAACCTTCTAGGTTCACGGGACGCTAGTAAGCTTCCGTAGACCGTCAGAATTAAGACCATTACTGTGAGAGGTGAGTTTATAGGTCGATTGTTTGAGCATGTGCGCTGTTGGGCCTAGACACTGGTCACGACTGAGGTAGGGGCGGCGCTTAGGTCGCAAATCTCGGGAGATTGTACACGATAAAGTATACTCTGATCTCTTTTCCTCTCCTCTTAGAATACGTAACCTATGATGACTCTTGGTGCAAAGGTAGGGTGTTGTCTGATTTCCTGAAGGACGTTCAGGCTTCTCTTTCTAGTTTTAAACTTAAAGCGTTACTGATTAAATTCTCTGTCCTATTCCTACGCATACTCCACTTACAAAGACTCTAGGTACCAAGTACAACTGATTGCTGGTGACTAATATTACACGTACGCTCTTAAAAATATATCTTTCTTATTTGAAACCTCAGTATTACGAATCAAATGGATGCAGGCTGGATTAGGCATTTCTTATGACTTCCTATTTCCTTCAACGGTTGGTTCCGACAGTTTCATATGGTCTAAGAGCTGGTTTTCGTGGCTACGATCCTCAGAATTTTGGATTAGGAAGGAGTGACTGGGTAGTAGGGTGATTGCAGTGCTTGCCTAACAATCGAAAGGTTGTTGGATCGATCCTGAGAAAGGTCAGACGCTTTTTGATGGTTTGGAACTGGATCCAGCTGTTTCTGATCATTGGGCTTTAAATAAATGATCATGCCTTATGAAACAGCTGATCTTAGTCAGTAACAAAGCTATACTTGCTAACTTAGCAAGTATCACATGACATCAGACTCTGCACTCATCCTCCGCCCATGTTTAGGTCGAAATAGGAACATAGGTGGCGTCCCCATCTCAATGATTGACAATTGATCATTTGGGAATAAAACATAAATAAACAACGATATTATATTCGAGAATTAAAACCTATCTTTCTAAATAAGGTTTATTGCACTTCACTGCAATATCAGAATGTCCTTGATTATTGAGCATTTGATATTTGGTCCTGGCTAAGGACAGCTGGTGGTAGTCAGTAACAAAGCTACACAGATAATCTCACTCCTTTCTTCACTACTCTTCACTCATATTCAGGATAAAATACACACCAAATTGTGCCTCGCTGTCTCAAAGAATTGAATTGAATTTATGTTTTCGTAGGAGTATCTTATTTTTAATTAAGTTCCCAATTATCTCAATGTCCTAGTACTCAAACTACGCGGTTTTACTTTGACAAAATGCATTTACACTTTTCTTACTTTTCTTCTCGTAAGCATCATACAGTAACAATGTGTGCCCTCGCACAACAAAGTTACCGTTTTACACAATCCGGGCAAAGCAAGATATCATTCAGACGCTCCTTCCTCGGATGCCTCTAGACGGAATGCGTTGAAAGCCTCAAGATTTACGGAGTAGACGAAGAATTTTATAGCCACTGAAGATAAACCCAGCATCCAGCTCCAGCTTCCGAACAGGTTTCCAGTTCCATGTTACGGTAGATCTCAAGACCACACAAGGGCGATGAAAGGTGACTTGTGGGAGGCGACGTTGGTTTAAACTTTAATTTACGTTCCTGGTTTTATGATCAAGTTGAAGTCATGAGTAGGCAGCTGTCCTCGCCGTAATGATCGAGTATATTTCGTCTGTTGATGTGGAAAAGAACTTGAAGAACGTGTAGAGAGAGATAAGTTGAAACATAGACCAACACAATACTTCTCATCCCATTGTAAAACATGAAGCTTGTTTTTCATGTTAGTGTTCACTGGGCGCTCTAGTGTCGACGAAAATTTGTTTTTTTTTATTTTCTGGGCTAGTTTCATGATTTGCGCTTTACTGTTTAGTTATATAACTATTTTTATGATTAGATAGTTTTATTTGTCTAAATGCGAGGTTTAAAAACACTGAAATTAAAAGGAAGAAAAACTCGACTCTTACGTTTAATGTATGGTTAAATAAACTAGGAACTAAGGATATTGACTAACACAACGTATAGCCTACTACTGAAATGTAGGAGGTTAGTCTCTTGAATAATGCTATTTTAACAGAATCATGATTATGTTTGTCAAAAGAACCTTAAACAAATAGAAAACTTGTTTGGGGTGTATTACTATCCTAATGGTAGCGTCTCGGATATCAACGCGGGACAGACGGGTTCAATCCCCGGCATACCTAAACAACTATTAGTGGTTGACGGACCCTTATAAGAGTTTGTCCTGTGGTGTAGTATAGCGGGAACGCAGGACATTATATGACTAGTAGAATGAGTTGACACTAATAAACACGCTACCTTATCAATATACAAAGTTAACCTGGGTGTTTCAGAAGTTGAAGTCACAACTAAAGGTTACTGAACGCTGGTTAGGAATTACTCAACGTCATAATGTGATCGATTGCAGTAGACGATCCTAATTTGCAACCTTGAAACAGTTACGTGTTACAGGTCTACAGTAATTACTGTGACCTGTCAAGTCTCTGAAGTGAAGTATTATGTACAATGTTTCCAACTTCATAAACATCGTGCGTTTTATCTCTGGACATGTATAGGATTTATTTTATACAAACCATTTGAACGGAACGAAACTTTTTATTTTGCCATACAGTTATACTCTGGAAAGTTGTTGGCTTTAAATCTATTATCTGTATGTGATAAAGGAAACATTACTTTCAAATTCAAAATATAAATTCTACCATAAATAAATCATACAGTCCAATATTTGTTTTTAATAAAACACATGTTTCGATTTAAAGTATTTTAATTTGAGTTTAAGAAAACAAAACCTACTAGGTAAAAATCATGAAATCCTCAATCAAACATTTAATTGGCAGCTAAGATTTGACCAGCATTTCCGTCACGCCCAATCTGAAGAAGTTTTCGAATGTGTGGAACTTTGCCAGATCCTTCCTAGTGATGACACCCACGGGCACGTTGTCATGGATGACTATGAGATGACGTAGAGCCATGTTGCGAAACACACAGTATGCCTTGACAGCTGGAGTGTTGTCCGTCACTGTGGAGGGGAAGGCATCGTAGTACGGTGTCAGGTCTACCTTGGTGTTGTAGTACTTGGGCTGTACGCTGTCCAAGATCTCACCGTCATTCAAACGCTTCCTGGCGTGCTTCAGATAGACCCGGAGACACTCGCACATCTCCCTCATGGTTTTCGGAGGAGGGAACTTGTAAGCCTTGTACATCAAGAGGACCAACAACTGCTGCCGAAGTATCAGACCCAGTAGATTTGAGCGTTGGTCCACCACAGGGTAGCCGTTGTGGTTGGTCATCTTGAGGACATCAAGGATCTCTTGCACAGTGGGGGGTTGAATCAGCTTTGTTACCGATTGAGACATGATGTTAGACGAGGTGATGTCCAGACTCAATGGTGGTGGTTTGGTGTAGAGAAACGGTAGACCTTGCAGCAACATCTGTGTCTGGTAGATCGGAACTACGAAGAAAGTTCCTACTACTTTGGTGATGATGACTACCACCATCAGGGGGAAGGAGAAGTTGATGCTCCCTGAGGCTTCGACCATTATCATGAGCACACTGAAGGTTTTCCCCACGGTAGCGCTGAGCTGGGCGGCAGCGCCGATATACGAGTATTTGGCCGGATGAGGCCACTGAGTGTCAGGGAAACTATGTTGGAGGAAAGTCCCGAACAAACGACCCCAGGCGGCGCCGAATATGATTTGTGGGACGAAAACACCATACGAGATTGACAACCCCCAAGTCATACACAGTAGGAAGAAATAAACAAACGAAAACCAAATCAGGGAATTCGTGTCAAGTATCTCTTTACCGAAAAAGCTCCGCAGGATATCCGCTTGAGTCTGTTGGAACATCAAGGACATGTCGCTATGTTCACCGTCTCCGCAATACAACTGGTGAGCGCGCTTAGTGTCTGTGTCATTCGTGAGTCTTCCCATCTCTTCGTCCGACATTGGGGAACAATGGCGTAAACACCTTATAGACACGTCTTGTACCAAAGTCAATATAATGGAGGCAACAAATGATAGTAAAAGTTTTCTTTTATTGTCGGTGATGAACTTATGACGCCACGTGTACACGTAAATGTGTATCTTTATTAGTAACGCTCCTAGAAGACCTCCGATAATAGCGACTATAGAGAAAGGTATGATCTCGAACAACTCGTATCTAGTTATGGTAGTGGAAATCGCTCCCAAGGTGGATAGTTCAGGGTTGTTCAGTCTAACGTCCACGCCAAGGATGATGGAGTAGACGACGCTTCCCACAGCGTAGCAGACGATACAGCATAAGTACATCTTCCACATGAGGCCGATGTCCCAGAAGCTGACGCCCTCCTCCAGCGCCAGCAGCATCCCCCCAATAGGAGCGCCGAAGACTACAGCTATCCCCGCGCCAAACCCAGCGGCCGCGAGGTCCCTCCTCTCCTGGTCGCTCCTGAACTGCAGCCAAGGCAGACAAGACGGTAGACTTCCTCCTATGATCGCACCGATGTGCATCGCCGGACCTTCTTTACCACCCGCGAGACCTGAGACACACGTGCATATCGTACTGAACAGCTTCACGAACAACCCCCGCATACTGAGGATCTTGGGAACTCTGATTCCATTGAGGTAGGCAATACAATGAGCCACGCCTCCTCCCGCAGCGTACGGCGCTATAAACACCACCAGCGCCGTCCCCAACATCACTGGCACCAACACTGACACGAATCTTGCAAGTGTTATTGACACAAGCTCGTACGGATGTGTCTCAAAACTGTCCATGATGTATGTGTTGAACCACCCGTACTTCCAGTGTCCTATCGAGTGAATGCAAAACTCCATGAAGACACAAATGACAGCTGTGACAATTCCAGCGACAACGAACAGAAACAGGCGCAGACTGTCTTCTACCATGAGGGAACCGAATGTTTGCATCTTTTGTCTCGCGAGTTCCAACTGGTTGGTGATCGGAGTGTAGTCCAAACTGTCGAAAGTGTCGCTGACGAAAAACTTGGAACTGCTCGCTGTCTTCGCCGCTTTTCTGTAAGTCACTTCTTCCCGCGAGTTGGACTTGATATTCTCCGGCTGAGTGTCTTTGGTGTAGTAACTAACCTCGCCCATTGATAAGCTAGAAGATATGCGTTTTGCAGAATCAGCATTATTTTCGATATCTGACTTAGACAACATTATGTGTGTTAGCAATTAACAGTCGAAACTAATTTATTAACTCTATGATAGTTTGTTTCGAACGACATTGCTAGTGTACAAATAAACAGTAAATGAAAGCTGTGAACGTTGTAATCAGCTGATTTTATTATTTTTATTTCCTTAGTTTCTGATGTGTTTGAGGGTGTTACCAACTTAAAAAATAAAATGTATTAACACATTAAATACGACTGTACGAGTATATATACGTGTGTAATAATTTATCATTTATAGTATCATTTTTGAACCTATTGTATACATATATTGTAGATATCTTATTGTATAGAGATATACAATTTTCTTATTACTTAGGTAGATTGTGGCATATTGTGGTGTATCGGGCATGATCCGAATAATACAATTTATTTAAATCACAAACAATAACATAGTTAACGCTTATGTTTATTAGTGGAAGTATGTAGAAGAAGGTGAAAGAGTCTTCGTAACATTTGGCATGTTATTAATAGTTATAAGATTGTGTCATTGATTATGGTAAATAAGTAGTAAGATTCTGTCTCAACCTTGGATCTGCTCATAAGTTTTAAAGTTAATATTAGCTTAAGAGATTATTGTATTGGAAGTTCCGAAAAAATGTTAATTAGGAACTCTAGGGAACTCTAGTTAACCTATTAAACCTTAGTTAACCTATTAACTTATTAGTTTTAACTGTAAATCATCTTCATTTTCTGTTTTGCTACGATTAACTAAAGTCAATTTGTCTTCGGTAGTCATTCCCTCATTCTTAATAACCTAACATACTCTTTCATAGGGATGCGCAATCTATATTGAACACTAGCTGTAACCCGCGGGCTTTGCCCCGTTTAACTTCTTAATTTTCAAGATTATCTCGTTCGCATGGCTCAATCACGTCCTGGTTGAAGTTTGTTCGCTACGCTCACTCACCTTTAGGTTGGAGCTCGTTCGCTACGCTCACTCACCTTTAGGTTGGAGCTCGTTCGCTACGCTCACTCACCTTTAGGTTGGAGCTCGTTCGCTGCGCTCACTTGCCTTCAGGTTAGCTCGTTCGCTACGCTAACTCGCCTCCAGGTTGAAGTTCGTTCGCTACGCTCACTCACCTTTTGGTTGCAAATTAGCTGTTATCATAAATGTAAAAGAAATAATAGTGCTGCACCCTGTTGGTAATCCTTGTAACTTTAATGCTATTGAACATCATAGAACAGAACCAACTTGTTTAATTGAAACAGATGTTAAGATTCAATAATTCCATTTCTCATAAGGTTAACATGGGAAACTCCAGAGCCACTGGGGCGGAGCCCGAAAGGATTTTTGAAATAAGAATATGCCTATATGTTAATCGGGAATGTGAGCTATCATCATGCCAAATTTCAGCCCAATCCGACCAGTATTTTTCGAGTTTACTTTTCCCATACACACATACACACATACAGCAACCACCTCTTTTTTATAATAGTATAGATTTATACGATAAGCTCATCTGTTGACCATTATTAATTGTTGTGATGTGTTAGACAGTGGGATCGCGGAAAGACAAACGCGCCCATTCTGGTGGCGCTTTGTCGAAAACCACCAAATGTTCTTGGCTTTTCTTTGGGTTTATTGTCCAGTATTAGTGTATAATGGTTTGCGGTAAAAGACTTAACGTTTATGAACTGTCGTAATTACCCCATTGCTAACTAATAATCATACACCTCAAGTGTATTATAAAATCAAAGCTTAATAGCATTCAAAGGAGGTTCTTTTCTTTTGTACTGTATTTAGTAATTGCTACTGTACTGCAGATGTTTTGTCACAAGCATATGTTACAACGGTGGGGCACACGGAAGATTTCTCAGGTGCCGTTTGACGTCACTAACTGCTGCGTCTGAAGAAACAGACAATTTTATAATTTTCCATTATTATAATTATAATATTTATTATAATACTGTCATAACCTAACCAAACTAACCAATCGTGCTGATAATGGAAAAATCGAATAAAGGTTTACTAATCTAAAAAATAGTGTTGTTCATAAAATAAAATTATAATTGCCTAAAATTTAATTTTATAATTTTTTAATTATAAAATTAAACTGTCATAACCTAACCAAACCAACCAAACTTGCTGATATGAAAAAATTGTTGATAAAAAGTTAGTGCCACCGGCGGAATTCAAACCCGGATCTTTTGGATTATCAGCCCGCAACGCTATCCTCTGCACCACCGAGGCCGATGGTTCAAAACCGTATCGTTGCGGTATTGGTGTTCCCTCAAAGTGACGTCAGCAGTTAGTGACGTCAAACGGCACCTGAGAAATCTTCCGTGTGCCTTTTCGTATGTCACAACTCATTTGTTTACATTTTGGCAAAACTGCTATAGCTAATTGACAGTCAGTAAGACTAATATAAAAAATATTACAATTTCATTTTAAGTTTTTACAAAAAACAAATTTTTCCAGAACAGACATAGCATGGATATTGTTTTTAGCGTAAGACTAAGATATTTTTAACAATTAAGGGGAAATCATAGGAGTCGTTTTTGAAACCATTGTTCGCAAACGTTACTCTTATAGATACCCCCAGCAAACCTGCAGACTATATAGGTGAATTTCCACTTGTCTGGTTGGATGTGTTCCTGCGTATAGATTACTGTAGTTAGTTACTGAATCGGAATGAACCAGCTGTTCGTATATGTCGATGTTGTTTATTGATGTGTTATTTACAGTGATCAAATGTGTTTCTCAACTAAAATTGAGATAATTTTTATTGAAGAAAGGTTGTGTTGTTCGTGATTGTACTGAATGGCGTAAATATGCAATATGCATTGGTGTGAACACGTTAAAAATATGTCTACAATATTTAACCGTTTTGGAGAATGATTGGGAGTGCTCAAGTACGGTATGTTTTATAACTTTCAAACAAACTATGGAAATTATTGATAGAGGTTGGTCTAGAATGTTCTAATAAGAATTGCCATTAGACCAATTCAACCAGACCAAATTCAGCCAACCAATTGGTAGTAGACTTACCATTTGTTAAAATTTTACTTAGACCCAGACAACGCTGCTAGCAATAATTAAAATATAAATATAAACTACTAATACTTACACGTTACAGTGGGAACGCATTGCTTTGCGAGGACTGTCTAAGGAACATGTCGGCCTTAGTCACTAACATGACTACAAGATCGCGCCACTCATCCTACACTCATCTCCATTCATACTTGGCTTAAAATACCTACTTTGTGTGGTCACCATTTAATTGAAAAGTATTAACATAGATAAATCATACTCCGTATTAAGTATAATGACTCCTCGAGTATCGTTCGCTTCTACAATAGTACCTAGACTAAAAGTAGTCAAGAATTAATTTTCATTTGCTTTTTCACGTAAATTTTTTTTATGTTTCAGATATTTTCGATGCCAAACGCAACGGTAGACTAGAAAACTGCCCTGGATATACTCCACATTTTTGGAGGTAAGATGTTTTTATAATTATAAGAAATTCCGGGTAAGGTAACGCCGGGTGACTGGCGGTCCTATTATAAGGTATTTATACGTTTGAGTAATGTCTTAAAAAGGTTTAGGTACCGGGTAATGATATGAAGACAGCTTGATTTAATGATCTAGACATCTCGGTTTGATTATCATAGACTCTGCTTGACAATTTAAATAATAAGTAGTGCAAAAGATTTTTAGCGTATTTATCGCAAGGGGAAGATGCTATTACCGTAGATGACTTGGCTTGAATGTGGTTTGATAAACTATAACGTGTTTGCGAATCAGAAAGATAGAGTAATAGGAACGGGGAGGTTAAAAATAAGTTTTAATAATTTTTTTAAATCTCTACCCTTAAAACATGAAAATTTCCAATTGCTATTACAGCCATAGTGTAGAGCAACTTCTTACATTGAAGCGTTGTTGCGTGGTTAAAGTACCGCAGGAAATAAAAGAAAACTGTACATATAAAATTCACCTGTTGTTCTTAAGGACGAAATGCAAACTTTTGTAATTTGCTTGTTTATGGGTATTTTTGATTAAAAATTGGCAAATTTATTTGATTTCATACTACACTATTAAGCCTAGCTATATTTAACCTGGAACTATATCTGAGATGTTTAAGGAACACATCCAACCAGACAAATGGGAATTCACCTAGTCTGCAGGTTTGCTGGGTTTAATGGTTTACCTAGTACAAGGCGAGGGATCACGTTTTGTTAGGCGTGAGAGGCTGCAATTGTCGGCGTCTGCTGGCAAGATACACATCAACTCCTAGACTGGCCGAAATTGAGAGCACGTAGTCGATCTCCGTGTCCGATACTGTATAGTGTAAACGCGGTTCTGAGCAGAATACTCGCGATATCGCGACAACAGTGAAACATTTTCCCACAGCTTTAGTCATATCTTGTACCATAATTGGCCTCATATTGGGCTATTTAGCCTAATTCTACGTGAAATGTTTGTACGAGGCTTTCGGTTTGGAGATATATGACAGAAAGATGGATTGTTCTCTTGACGATTAACAAATTCAGTTTAGGTGAGTCAGTGGCTCAGTTGGTAGCGTATGGACTTTGGGCCCAAGGCAGTGATGTCGTGGGTTCGGATTCTGATCACTGCCGCAAACATTTTATCAGTACAGTTAACCTTTGTACTGTACCGGCTCACCCCTTGTTTTGCTGGATAAATTCCACCATTGACTAAGGAAATAAAAGTTTCCCTTGTTCTTTGTTTCCCTTGTCTGTGGTTCCACGCACAGATCTGTAGTCTATGTGGACGGGCAAATGCAAGGTTAAAAGAGGTCGCCAACCTTAAAAAAAAGTTATATCATCTATGTTACCGTCGGAACGGTCAGGAATTCAATTTAACTTCAATTTATTTCCTGCTGCAAAGAGTTGAGCTAATCTTTACGTTGTGATTCTTGTGCGCAGCATTTCGTAGCAGTATGAACTTATGTTTTAATTTTTCCAAATGGACCGATCTGGCAGTTACCCAGTTAAATGTAGCTTAACGTTTACCTAACACCTTGT